AAACAGACTGAAAACAACGACAACAAAAGTTGTCTCTGGGTAGTACTGTAACTAAAGTGTCTAAAATCAACTATTCCCCCCGTTAAAACTACTGAACCAACTCCTTCACTAGTGAAAATACATGCAGTCCATTTGTTTCAGCAGCATCATTTTACGTGCCCTAAAGCAAGACTTTATGTTCACCTTGGCTTTGAATTCTGGACTGGATATTCCTTTCACTGGCACTGGTGCTTACCAGCAGTAACTCTGCAGAAAGGCACCAGACCCAGCTTGTGATCCTGGCCCAGCCACCATTGTTTCGCAGGTATCTTTGCAAGAACATGTTTAACTGAATTTGCGAATTGGTGGAAGGTCATGTGTTCTAGGTTTTGAACATAGCTCTAAAATTTGTAAATACTTGTTCCATCAGTTGTCTCAAAACATTGATAGAAGCAGCAATTCAGAGCAAATGTTTCTCTCTGGTCTTTGTAGAAGCTGGACAGTGAGCGCTTTCAAACAGGATCCCTTATCACTTGCACAGCAGAGGTTCTTGTTCCATTAGAACTGCATGTTTGTTTGTTTGCTTTAATAAATTAGATTTCCCTTGAAAAGCAATGGTTTAAATTAAGAAAAAAAAATATTTATAAAACTTAAAAACCGGATTCAAGAAGCTCTGCACTTAAAACAAGTTCTAAGGGTTTTAAAAATCCATAAACACCATGGGGTTCTTGCACTCCTAATTATGAATGTTTAGATTTTGGTGTTCATTTCCTCTGATTGATATACTGCAGGATGAATTATTCATCCAGTATATACAGGGTCATGGAACTTAATCCCCTCCATTTATTTTAAGTGAATGTCATGTTTGTAAAAAGTGCCAGATTGACAGACAAGATTCAACCCTTCTGATAACCTACACTTTGTATCTGAAGCTGTCTAGAAGTAAAAACTCTTGCGGTTATAATTATTGGGTCAAGTCCTTCACTGATGAAAGTCGGAGATGAAAATCAGGGGTTGTTTTTGAGCAGCACAATTTTAAATCACATAAGGTGAGGTTTTCTCTGTCCCCTCAGCTTTAAATTTGGACCAGAGGAGGCCTCTGGCTGCTCTGCGCATTTGGCTCAAACCTCCCCTGAGGCAGAGCCGCGCTCCGAGTCGGGCCGGTCCTCACCGACCCCATTGCCGCCTGCTTGGCTGAAGCCACCTACTGGCGTCCACATCATTCTGGGTTTGAGTGGTAAAGCTTTGCAGCACTTGCACTAAAGTAAGAATAATGCGTTAATGCGGCAAGGCAGCGACGACAGCTTTCCAGTCTTGGTGGCCTCTGACAGGTTGCAGCTGGCGGTCCCTACACAACTGCCTCCCTGTCCTGCCCTCAGTAGTCAGGGCAAGAACTTTCTGACATTCTGAACAGATACTACAGAAAGAACAGTTATTGCAGTTGTAATTGAAGTAAGGAGTAGGTGGGTAAAAAGGTTGTTCTGTCTGTTGTATATCATGATAGGTGTTCTTTTAAATTAAGCTTTTACAAAAACTGGTGAATCTTTGGTCAAGTCTCATCTGTTTTATCAATAATGGCCCAAGTAGCATCTCCAGTGTAATTCCGTAACAAACTAGGGCTTCTCCAATAATCATAGTTCAGAGACTTTCATTTTACTTCATGCCATAAGACTGTACTAAGGAAGGCCACACAATAATAAATAGAATTAGGGGAACATACATGTGGTTGGATTAAATATTTATCAACAATGTCTGCATTAACGTGCACTGTTCGGGAGCTCAGAATTGCCCCAGATCGTGCAAAACGATCAGTTTGTGGTTGCCGAGAAACCCCTAGCAGCCTTGTCTGTAGGAGCTGCAGGAGGCCAGGTCATGGGCTTGAGCATCGGTGGACCAGCAAAGAGGTGGCTTGTTGGCACATTGCCTGGCACAGATCTAGCCTGTGCCCACTAACACGCAGCCAGACACTGCCCCAGCGTGGGGTCGGGCAGGGCGCAGCCCAGGCACCTGGCCCGACAGGCTGCAGGGACGAGGACACCCTGCTTCTGGCCAAAGAGAGGTGAACCATGGGGCTGGGTATTGCATGGTGCTGCTCATCCTCAGGGCGAAAGCATTGGCCCTGGTCTGATTTGTTTACATGTACAGACACAGTCATCACCTCCAGGGATTTTTTTGCCTGGACATGGCATTGGACGTAGAGTAAGTCATTTCTTGAGGACCAAAAGTTGCCTTTCTCTATCCATATACTCTTCGCCTGTGATGCTGGGGTGGGGAGAGGTGCTTGGCAAAATAATTGCATCAAGCAGTATTTCGCCTTGGCGTAACACAGCACTATGCACAGCTTTGAAGGATAAGACATTTACAGTCTTATTCTTCCATAGATGAGGATGCTTCCTTGGCCTTTTCTAAAGAGCGCTAAGAGGAAGTGCCAGCGGCTGGAGAGCATTCTTCAGCATGGCAGGCCGTACAGCATATGGGAAGCATTTTCTCTTCTGTGTGGCAAAGGGCGGCTCTGTTTTTTTCCCAGAGCCACATGTGGTAGAGGGAAGCGGTGACAACACAGGAGGGTGGAGGGACATGTGCCTCCTCTGCAGCCTAGGAGGAATCCTTTCAAAAGCACAGACAAGGGTTCACGGGACATGACCACTAAGAGTGAGGAATCCTATGTAACATGGGGCTTCCAGGCACAGCCTTGAGCCCGCTGCTTGGTACCAGCCTGCTTGGGAATGGGCAAGCCTGGAGGAGCAGAGTGGTCTCACAGAGTCCAAAAAACCTCTGCTGAGCTCCAGAGGCTGGAGGTTTGTGCTGTCTCAGTGGCTGTGAGACTCTGCAGGGACTTGCCCCAGGTCTTTTCTTCTTCCAGCACCCCTTCAGGGTTTCTGTCCTTCTTTGTGCAGGATACCTTTGGGTTGTGGCTCTTGATCTCCCAGTGATACAGTCTGGTTCTAATGGCTCTACTGCCTCTGCCCAAAGCTTTTTGTTGCTGTGTGTTAGAAAAAATGGGTGCTCATTCGTTTCACATTCTTCTGAAAAGCATTTTACACCTTGGAAGAGGCAGGGAGCTTGGAGAACAGCACCTTTTTAGGGCCTGTCACACTTTTACTTTCCAATAAATTCAGTGAAATAATTTTGCATGTGATTTAAGAAGTGTACTAATTTACAGTGCAATTATCTGAAGGTTTGTATTAATTAGTATTGTTGCAAGGACTGATATTTAGAGCTGAGGCTAAAGTGTAATTCTGAGACACAGCAGGGAATGTGTAATTGGAGTTGAAGGTCAGGTCACATGCTTGGATTTTCAAAAGAATAAGGCAAGTTCAGCTTCAACAACGTGTTTATGGATTCAGAATGACAATTATGTTGCTGCTGCAGCTGTATGTTTTGTACTAATTAATATACCTATCGGAGGCCTGTGGCTGGGATCCCATCACTGCCTCCTGCTGTCTTAGATTGCTGTACACGTTTATATTGACTCCAGCAGGATTACTGCTCGGTTTCCCAAGTGGCGACGAGGGGATAGTCCAGCCAGTGGAACTGTGAGTTACGTTGGTAGGAAACTCATGAGCCTGAAACCAGGCCAGTGCCATTTATGGAGGTAAATGCTGGAAATCTAGGCAGATGCAATCCAGACAGGAATTGAACAAGTGAAATGTTAATATCAGGTGAAGCTTTATCAGAAACAAAAGTTTTGTTTCATTTCTTAGTTCTGCACTATCCAGGTTAGGTCCGGTTCTACCAGGTGATTAAAAATGGCAGGTGCTACATGATTTGCTGAATCAATACCTGTTCTTTCATATTCAGATAGGAAATGTCTCTCAGAAGAAAATACCACCCTAAATCCTAAAACATAAACACTACACAAATTGAAACTTAAGCAAGACAAATGATCTTGGTTTGTACCTGTTCTGCTGAAGAAGCATTTACAGGGTGTGAAATAAACCACCAAACACTCTTTATTTAAATAAGGAGTCATTCATTGTGAAATCCTACCGTGGCAGACTGAAGGACTCTCCCTTCTCTGTTTAAATAGCAACCCTTCTCCCCAGCCTACCGAAGGACCTAGGAAAATAGCTCACAGGAAAGGACCCAGCCCTGCCAATTGTTTTGTGCACAGAAGCCCTATTGAAACCAGGAGAAGCTGTGAGCAAAGAACATTTGCAAGGTTATATCCCAAGTACCTAGAAAACAGATTTCTAAAAGGCATCATCAATAATAATAATACTACTGTAGTTCTGACTCACGCTCTGAGCAAACAGTTACCAAAGAGTTTAAGATGTTCCCAACTCCCCAGCTGCTTGTGACCTCTCCGCTCCTCCGGGGAGCATTGCTTCAGGCTCCGTGCCTGCACCTGCCTGCCGCAGCTCAGGGCTGAGCCCACCCTCTTTCGGGGCTGGGGCAGGTGAGGCGCTGGGATGGGCTCGTCTCTCCTGCCGCTGGTGTGGCCGTGGTCACTGCACACCCAGCACTGCCTGCTAAGGCCTCACCACGGTGGCCAACACCCCATGTGAAATTTGGGAAAGGTGGGTCAATATTACAGCCCACCTGCTCCAACCTGTGCGACTCATTGCCAAGAGGAGGAGCTCAGCGAGAGAGATGAGACAAGCTCATCACTAATACCTCCAGCAGTAGCTCTCAAACGTACTGATTAGATGCAACTAAGGAGTCCCTGGACAACTGCTTGTGGGAAGGCGGACCAGCGTACGGAGGGGCTTGGCCGTTCCTGCCCTGCTCTTGGTGTGTTTTCCCTAAGCCTCTGCGGCAGCTCACTGGCTGGGACAGGCTGCTGGGAGAGGTGTGCCCAGCTGGTGCGGGGTAGCTGGTCTTAAAAGCAAAGCACAAGGGGGTCACTGTGCCCCTGAAGTGTGGGGTAGTGATTATGGGTGGTTCTCGGGGTGTCCCGTGGGCATTTCTGTCCCCGGGTCTTGTACAAAGTCTCTGAGGGCAGCATCTGAGGACAGCTTCTTTTACAGCAGACCCGCCATGTCTTACTCTCTTAGAAACGTTTTTCCTTTTCCTTTCAGGCACCCAATGGCCTCCCAGCTGTCAGCAGTTTCGTCTCAGCACCAGCCATGCCTCCCTATGCCACACCAGCCCAGGTGTCACCTTACATGACATACAGTGCCACCCCGTCTGGGTACATGGCCAGCCATGGCTGGCAGCACGCTGGTGGCACCCCGCTGTCCCCTCACGGCTGTGACATCCCCGCCTCGCTGGCGTTCAAGGGCGTGCAGACGGCCAGGGAGGGCAGCCACTCCGTCACGGCCTCCGCTCTCTGATGCAGGAGTCAGTCCAGGACCACCACAAGCCCACTGGCTGGTTGTCACCACAGCCTGGCTCACGGACTGCTCTCCTTGTGCCAGCGGTACCTGGCATTTCTCCTCGTGACTTGTCTCCCATAAGGCTTTTGGGATAGAAAGAGCTGAAGACAACATCAGAGACTAAGTGTGGTGTTGCGCTCTGAAAGTGAAGATCTTGCGTCCCTCAAAGGGCTCGTGGAGTCTCGTCCCACTCTCTCCTGGTCAAACCACACGTATTTATTCTTAATCATCACAGACTTTCTAAACGTGCAATTGTTATTAAGATTTGTGTAAAAATCAGTAAAGAAAAATCACCACAGAAAATTCTGCTATGCCTCAAATCAGCAAAGGCTGCTAAATGGGAGGTGTTTGCTGATTGCCTAGAGGACGATCTTTTCATCGACGAGGTTACACAATCCACTGCTATTAAGAGATCACTTTTTTGGTTGTTTTGTTGGGTTTTGGTAATCAAATATAGAACCAAGGCAGTAGGTGGCTCTCAGATTCTTCTGGCGTGTTGCCATCATCAGGCAGTAGTCATACCTTTGTGTTTTTATCCATTTGTAAATATAGGCTTTTGACAGCAATTCTTTTCACCTTCCAGTACATTTATTTCTACTTTTTTTTTTTTTTTAAGTTAAAAAGGTGACTTTCTAGCTATATTCTGTGTCTATGTGTGACAGGGTGATAGCCTCAGGTGGTGCAGTTTAGGTAAGTGGGGTTTTTTTCATCATGTCTTTGTGCCTACAGTGGAGGCTTCAACATCTCATGAAACACAGTTATCTCTTTAGCAGAAGATTCAAAGGCAGAAATCCAGTCAAGTAACTCTCCCCAGTTATACCCAGCCTGACAGATTCATGAAACACCACATTCGTCTCAAGTGTACAAACAGAAATGGGTGGAAAATATCTGAACAAAACTGCAAACTGTAGGAGAAAATGCTGTTAGTGTGCAACCTGTGCAGAGATGCTTACAAAGCCGTGTCAGTCAACGAACCCGCTGAGAAACAGAATTGTACCATCGTCGTCGGCTCACTCGTGTCCAGCATTTTTGGCCCCAAGATTACGTTGTGATTTTTTTAAGAGGAAGTTGTCTTTAATTTCTGCTTTAATGAATGTAAAATATGCCTCTTGGTGAAGTTTACATTGTTGTTCTGAAGCATTTTTTTCCCTTATAGGTATACTGGTGGTGGTGCTACAAACACAGATATTATTTAATATTGACACATTACTTTTCTACATTTCTGTATCCAGTGAAAAGTACTCTGTGCCAGTTATTTTGCTTTAAACTTTAATCTCAAGAGAGCTAATGTTCTGATCTTTGAAAATTTACCTGTTTTCCTTGGGCAATAATAAAGTTCTGACTATTATTCCAGAATGCTGTCCACATGCTGTAGGTATGTTCAGAATATGAACATGGAAAAAAAAAATTAAGCCTGGTGTGACATTTCATATCCTTCACAGAATATTAATATATTGTGTATTTTTATAAATGTTGTGCAATAACTTAGATCACTCTAGACATAGTTAAAGCAGAGGAGAAAACTTCAATCTTCAAATATTGTTCTGTCTGCATACCATATTAAACATTCATTCAGTGGGAAGGTAAAATACAGCCTCCTCTTAAAATACAGTCCTCTCTTTGTGGCTTTCCAGCTTTCATCACCGAGACAGCTGTGGGTAAATTTTCATAGTAGTCTAAGTAACCAGTACACATGCTATGTACAGTATATCTACTGAAATATAGATGGACTCAACTGGCTGCTGCCACCTTTACTTCTTGCATTAAAAAATAGTTAACTGAACTGTATTTCTATAAAGAACACAGGTATTGTGTTATGGCCCTAAGGAAAGAAAGATCTGATCTTGGATGTGGTCCTGTATTCTTCAGCCTCAAAGGCATTTGACAGCTGTTTAGCTTTAAGGAGATGCTGAAACCTTTGTTATTCAGTAGAACACTTTCCAAAGAATGTTTCTTTGAAACCACCACAGGTAACGCGCACAAGCGCATTTGTGCTCTGCCTCACTGTTAGTGACGTGGTGGATGTTACTCTGACTTTATGCAGTTGTAGCTGAAATAAGACCAACCTTAACACCATGAAAAAGAAATCAGTTTAATTCCGACAAGCTCTTCACTAAAAATAAAATGGAGGAAAAAAAAATAAGAAAAAGTTCATGAGTCAATAAGTGATAAAGTTGGCAACAGAATTTTAGCTTTCGACCTAGTTGTTTTACTGGATTATAGAATTATTGAGCATGTCTACCTTTTGTTACCCACACAGCACAAACAGGTACACCAAAGGAAAAAAAAAACCCAAACAAAAAAAAAGAGAATCCTTCCGCAGCACAGCTTTTTGAGGTCCAAGAATTCACAAGCCTGTAACAAAGTGTGCCTATGTTAAAAGTTTTCAACATTTTACCAAGAAATAAGAGGTCGTTTCTGGACTAAAAGTTGTCTTTTCTGACATTCCCATGAGGCATTAATGTGTTTTGGGAGATACTTAAGAGAGACAGATCCTTAGCTTGTATCAGGTGTTTGCATTACCTTTTCTTCAGCTACATAGGGATAATTTATAAAGCAGGAAAAAGACCTGATCTTAATTATTCCTCACGGGGGAATACACCACCATGAACCATTTTTATTTTGCGTTTGTTTAGGTACAGCCCTTTGCGCATCTGCCTGCTGCACAGAATACCTTACCCCCAAGTGGAAAGTCAGGGGGGCTGTGTGCAGAAAGCGTTGCTCAGAGTGAGCAAAGGTGCCTGCCCTTGGCACTTGGTGAACTGCCTCTGATGCATTTTTCACAACATTCTTTTTTTTAGATGTAAACGTACTATGCAGAACAGTTCTTTGCCCAAGGACTATTTTCCCTGCTTATACTCACAGGTAAAAAGCAGAACACAAGAAGTTAGCTTATTAGCCACACAACTTTAGGCCACTTTACAATAAACAAAGGAGAAAAAAGGAATAGTTTTGTTGGTTTTATTTTCGAATAACAAACAAGGGTCAACTGCTACTGTCAGGTACAGGGGCGTGAACCCACCGAGGTGAACGGATTAATTTGGGAAATATGCAGTATATGTGAGTGCAGAACTTAAGTTTTTAATCCGAAAAGCCTACACTCCATTCCCAGAGTGTCAAATGTTTTCATAGAAATCAGTGGAGCCCAACACTCCCTGCTGTGACAGCCCCACCGTGTTTGCACGGTCCCAATACAGAAGACCTCCAGTGTAAAACTGAATCAGACCCATATTACACCATGAATGATGGGGGATTGGGCTGTCATGTTCATGGTTTCTTTTTCTAAAACAATGCTGTGTTTTCTGCTTTCTAATGGTTCTCTTTTTATCAAAGCTCAGGCTGAGCTGTTAACTGAAAAAAAAAATCATGTTGAAAGGATGTAAAACTGAAGGCTATATATGTATATACAGTATGTTTAAAGCCTTTTATTTTTATATTTTGAATGCTCTAAATTAATAAAAGACTAATTACAAAGCCTTTTGCTTTTAATTTTCAAAATTATCTTAGTAGTGTCTTCTCTTTGTCTAAGTACCGATGGTGAAATGCAACAAGGAACATGTGCCTTAAAATTATAAACTGTAACAGAGCTAATTTTAATTGATTTTAGTTTTGAAATAGCGTAGGTACAAGAAGTCGCTGTTGTCAAATTTAGGCAAAGGAGAGGTTTATTGAGCATGTCAGTACAAGCATCCTTGAAAGCGCTGAGAATGCATTCCTATTTTTAGCTTTTTGTTGCTTTTCTAATGCATTAAAGACACTCATGAGACGAGAATTCACATGTGAACTGTCATTTTCAGGTAACAATCTGGAAAGACATTTCTTTAGGATTGCTGAGAAAACGGTTTGTACCTCCGTAAGAGGAAGAACATTTAATGTTAACAGTGTAAATGTAGTATGGGGTGATACAGAAACTTTCAGCAATTGCAAGATACACATTCATTTGATAACAAACCAAGTTTAGATAATAGGAATTATTCTGTTTTTATAACAGAATAATGTGTAATTTTAAGTTATTTAAAGAGTTCTTGAAAAGAAACAGTAGAGTGGCACAACTGCATGAGCTGAAACTATGCTTTCAATTAGCATAGCAGAAATTATCACATTTCACAGAACTAGTTAGAATAGCTAGTAAAGTCAGGAGTGCATCACTGAAATATTTATATTACAGTGAAAAGGAAAAGCAACAATTTTAGCTTTAGATCAACATTTTTTATCTATAGAAAGGTCCATTTCTTTGAGGTGTATGACTAGCTAACTACAACTCCATATGTACTATCAGTCTAGAACACTGTTTCTCCATCCCATGGTGGTAACAGAGAGGCTAAAGGGGCAGTCAAGGTGCATTGAGCATTTTTATCATAGGACAGCTCTTTAAGCAATAGTGTATGAAGGTGGATAAAAAATTCACAGTAAAATCTCATATGCCTAAAAGCATTTTTTTCTGCTCATTTGTTTACTCACTTCTTTTATGATTTCCACAGTTGATTTGCACCTTATGTAACTTGATTCAGACTAATTATTTTCAGTATCTTCTGTGACCTGAGTGAGATTTATATCATATATATGGCTAAGAACAAGTAGGATGTTTAACACTACGTCTGTTTTTAAGGCTGTGACTAGTTGTGCTGTCCTTTTTATATCCTAGGTCCCAACAACTGAAGAAGCTTTTCTATCAATGTTGAAATTATGCTGGACTGAACTGAAACTGGACCCAAGACTGACGCGAGAGATTACAGAGTATGAGTCATGTTCTTAACCTGGAGTAAATGGAGCTGTCAGTTTACACTAGCTTAGTGTCTGGTCCCACAGGATTAGTCCAGTTTTTTTTCTTCAAAATCCCCTGAAAGTTATTATTTTACCATTTCAGCTGAAACTTTTTAAAAAGTGTATTGACTGCATAGTATAATTCAGTGTCCAGAAATTTCAGTTTGTGCTTAAAAAACTAACTTATTCCTATG